AGAGACCAGGGGGAACTGATGTGTACCGCGTCGTTTTTGTACTTGTGCCATTCGAATTTTTCACCTGCTTCTTATTTTCGCTGTAGATTCCGGTTGCAACTACTTTCTTCGTTATCTGCGCTGTTTCCTGGGAGCTATGTCTCTGTGCGTGCATGTGTTATTAGTGTGGCAGTTATTGTTGCTGGCGGTGCTGCTTGCCGCCATTGCTATTGATGCAGCCGCTGCGACTCTCTGCGGAATTGGTCGCGCAGCCGCATACACACCCGCCTCGTGAGATACTCTTGCGAGCCCTTTCTTTTGCCGTTGTCGTTCTCTTCATTTGTTTGAGGGAAAATGGCACGCACGATCATCCTTAAAAAGCGATTATCCCCAGACGCACACCTGCAGATACGAAAGCGAGGAAGAATTCAAAACGACTTGCGTTTTCCAATTTCTTGTTTTTTTTTTTTTCTGTACGGCTTATATTTCGTTGTGAAAGAGACGATGGTGAGGTATTCGTACTCCTCTCCTTCTCCTTCCACCTATAACCCTGGTGGTATGTTGGGTGTTTGTTGCTCTCATTCACTGCGGCTCCCATCATTCCTGAGTCCCTCCCCAGAGCGTCCTTTCCCCTCCTCTGTCTCTGCTCTCTTCGTCATCTTATGTCGCTTCTCGTGTTGCTGCGCAAGTTTTGATAGACCCTTTCCCAGGCCCGCCTAACTTTTCCGGCTCGAGAGCCAGTGGAAACAAAAACCACGACAGGGATAACAAGAACAACAAGCACAAGAAATTCACACCTACACACACATACACAGAGAGAGAAGGAGAGATTGACCAACATATATACATACGTCAAAAAAAAAAATAGCTCTGGGGTCCCCGGGAACATATAAAGGGAAATGGCACATAATGCCACATATATTGGCGCAAAATTGCCCCCGCTTCCGCTTGTTGCGCCCCTGTGCGGCTGCCACAATCCCGAGAAGGCGCTCGTTGTGTACCAAAACGCGAAGGGCACCGGGGAGGTTGCGGTACAGGAGCTTCTTGCGCGGGCTCGTATAGTTGTTCCTGCGCTAATGAACTACCTGTTCTTTAGCTCCACGCATGTGGCAGTGCTTTACTTGGGCAAGAGCATTGTGAACGGCAAGCGCATGGGCGTCCGCGAGGGTGCGGTCGATATGAAGATACGAATGCTCCGCTACTTGACAACGGAGATGTGGCCGCCGCTGCTGCGCACTGACGCACCGGAAGAGTCCTGTGTTGGGGACTTAATGTGTTCTGGGTGCTACAGCGAGCTCCCCTTTGAGGAGCTGCTGGCTTCGGACGGCAATGAAGACGACAACACTTCTCGCCAGCGTGCATCACTCAACTTGCTGAAGCAGGTATCACTACGGAGCGAAATGGAGGTGCTGGTGTACCTCAAGAACGGCGCAGATGACACAAAATACCTCAAGTTGATTCTTCGTAACACCATGCACCGTCTGCACTTCGATGTTATTGACCCGAAAGATGAAAAGCACCGCTGGGAGGCGCGAAAGCTCTTTACGCGCATCCTCGACAACTTGGAGACACGTAAGGCGATACCAAGTTACGAGGCATACGAGCGAGCGTTTCGTGAAGCGTGTTCAATGGCGGCACGGCTGCCAGTCCATCAGACGTTGTTGGAACAACGTGTTGAGGTGACTGTACGTTCAAGTGATGATTCAAACGATAATGACGGCGACGAGGTGCGGTTTTACCCATGGATGGCAAGCCTAACAAAACCTGAAGGTTCTATGCTGGATTACAAGAGCTACATATTCGATACAGTTGATCAGATCAAACTCAATTGTGTGCGCTTTATGTGTGGCTTCCTTAATGCCTATAGTAAGGGAAGACTTCTTATTGGCGTCCACGAGGTTCCAAAGCGTAACCCAGATGGCTCAATACCTCCTGTGGGTGATGGCAAGAACAATATTGTTCGCCACGATGATTTGGTAGACCAGTATGTTGTTGGTGTGCGCATCACCGACGGGGATTTGCTCGAGATTCAAGAGGATCTCTCGAAGCAACTCCTGGCGTGTGTGCCACCGGTTCCACCACAGACAGTTCGTGCAGAGTTGCTGCCTGTGCGGCTGCCAGATGATTTCACTATGTCGGGACGGGTGCTGGTTCTTTGTGATGGAGAGCCTGGTGGTTTTTGCACTGGAATGAAGCAAAAAATATTCTCTGCTATGCACCAATTGGTCCCACAGGGCCTCTCTTTGGTTCCTGTGGAGAGCAAGACGCTGCGGCAGAGACTCCAAGGGGAGAGCTATCCCTTTGATGAACCAAGGATCGAGTTCTACTGTGTGGCTGCAGTGCGAGATCCTGCAGCACTGGAACAGCAGAATTGGGAAGGTCCACTGCTAAATGCACTCGAAGGACAGAAGGTTTACTGCCATTACTTTTTTGTGGATGACCCAGGCGATGTTATCATCCCACCACTTAGCGTCATTGATATTTCAGTGGATCTGAAGCGAAGCTCATATATTCCCCTGCGAATGTACCCTGAAAAGTTTTTTAGTGGGTGGCCCTCAATACCTATTTGGGACACAACCACAAATAGTATACGACGAGTAGAACGAAATTACAACATATTTCGTTACTTCTTGACAACAGGAGGTAGCTACGCTCCTGTGACCCAACAGAGTGATTTCAGCATGTCGACACTACCTGTACCGTGGCAGATGAATGAACGCTGTGTTGCACCCGTTAAACGTGTGCTGCGTCAGATTCGTCCGTCTTGGTTCAATGTTCCCCAAATCTCAAGTCTTGTTCTCAGCTATTTGGGAGACATATTGGACTGCTTGCGGTTCCGTCTTCTAAATTCTGTGTGCGACATGGTTTTCGAGCTTCGGCAAGGGACGTATCTACTGCAGCTGCTTCTTGCGACACCGTTGGGGAATGTTGATTTCAGCTGTTCTTGGGATCTTCTCTCCCGCGTGCAGAATGAGATGCTGGCGGCGGAGATCCCACCGATGCCGTTGCTCTTATGCCGCACGTTTGAGAGCATTGGAATACTTCCATCGCCCTTTCCTTATGTTGCAGTTCCTCTAATTCAGCAGAGCTTCCGCGTTTCTCCATACCTCGTGCCTTTGTTTTATTTACAACGCTATTTCGACGGCCAAATGAAACCACTGATCGTGCTTGATCTTCGCGACGGTGTTGTGAAAAGCATACACCTTCGTAACGGTGAATTTACCCTGGAAGCTGTGGTTGGGGTAGGATTTGGGAGGATCTCAAAACGCCGCATCAGTCAGTTCGGTTCCAGAAACCGATCGAGCACAGAAGATTCTCTCTCTGAGGATGGGGGTGTGTCGCCAAGCGCCGCGATGCATGGGTTCCTAACGCCGCCGACGCACCGCCCTGCTGAAGTGTATGGCGACAGCGAGCGAAGCCATCTTCCTTTCCTTGCACTACCCTCATCCGAACGCAAGAAGGTACCCAGGGTGCCGCGAGAGGTCGAGGAACACCTCCCACTCATTGAGTTTAGGTTTCTCACTGAGGAAGTGGTTGCAGAGTTTGATATTTATCCTCGTAATGGACGTAGCGATACGCATGAGACGTCGCTGCAGGAAATGAGAGATTCAAACCAATTGACCCCATGGACCCTATCTCATCTGCTCTCTTGGTTTAATGTGTTGTCGTCTGATGAGCATGTTCTTCCCTTTGGCTACTGTAAGCGATCTGTATCGTACTGTGTTGCTTCTCTTCAAGATGTATGTTTGGAGCATGTGGAACATATTGAAGAAAACAACCTTCATCTGGCCCATATCCGTTTTGCTGACTCACCGCAGAGCTGTCTTTTGCACAAGAAGACGAAGGAATGGATGTCCATGTGAATTATATGTTTTATCCTTTTCGGGTAGAAAGGATAATTCTTTTTGTTTTTCACCAAAAGAAAGCAAGATAAAAGGAAAAAAAAAAGAAAACAACAGGCAATGCTCTTCAATGGAGAAGAAAAAATATATATAAATATGGCTTTAAAAAAACGAAAGCGAACAAATGCTCTTTTTTCGGTCCTACCAATCTCATTTGTCTTGTAAGGGGGGAGGGCTAACGAAGGTAAAGGGTAGTCTCTCAGTACTGTTCCATTCGCTCCCGGGTAGTGCACGGATGAATTTGGCATGACCAATTCAAACGGGCCACGGTGGAGGTTGTTGAGGCTACCAGGGACCCCTTTGCGAAGAAGGTTGCTCATCCTTTTGATCCTCATATTTCTCTTATTGGTCGTCGGGTCGCGTCAAGAAAGTGTACATAAGGCAACTTTGTCGTTGCCGGTGCACATTTCAACTCCACTCAAGGAGCTTTATTCGACGCCACATTGGAGATCCTACGCTGCGTTGGGCCTTGCGCCGCCGACCTCACGGTTTCCGGAAAATGAGTTCATCACGTTGACTACCGCCGCGCACGTCAAAAATCGTGCGGCCGCTGTTCAGCGGCTGTTTTCCTGCTATGGTAAAAAGGAAGGCGAGGGAACGCACAATGAAACCAGTGATTTGTATGACTTTGTTGTTTTGCCGATTGGGTGTTTCGGTGACACTCTAGATGCATGCACGTCGTGCACTCTCAGTAAGACACTTGTGAATGCCACATATTGTGGCCGTCAGAAGATAGGTCTCTTTCTTGGCGATAATTTTTATCCGTACGGTATCCGTTCTCGGCGTGATAGACGGTTTAGGAGGGAGCTGCGTTACAAATTCTATCGTTTCCCTGAGCTTCAGATGACGTACTACGCCACCTCTGGTAATCACGACGGGTGGCCTAAGTACTTGTATCGCACGGAGAAGTATTGGATGATGCCTGCGCCATTTTATCGGAGTGGCATCCAACAGAGTGGGGAAACGACTGTGGAGATATTCACCATCTCAACTAACCCATACGATATGATTGGTAGGAAACACTTCTTTGAATACCAAAAGGCGTGGCTCAACAGTTCCTTGGCTAATAGCACTGCTCAGTGGAAAATTGTCATGACCCACGAACCCATTATTAACGTGATTAGTCTACAATACCATGCACAAGGCCTGAAGTATATTCATCCCCTCCTTAAGCAACACGGTGTTCAGATATTGGTGTGTGCCCACTTGCATGGCGTGTTTCTACACCGTGTGGATGGGGCCTATTACCAATTGACTTCGGCAGGATTCGCTAACAATCTGGTGGGCAGTGTAAATATTCATAGACCACTGGGTTACAATCACCTTGGCGTAGCTGCCACCGCCCTTCTTGTGAAACAAGAGACCATTACAGTGGTTTCTGCGGATGCCGATGGATACCTTGTTTTCCATCACATCGTGCCCCGTCATATGGCGTCGTAGAATTGACACTTTAGTTGATCCCTGATATCCTTTTTTTTTTTGCTACATCCTTGGTTTTACACCTTGCATCTCTTTCGTGAAGTGAGATGAGGCGCACACACACACACACACACATTCATTTGTGAGAGTTTTGCTGTATGAACAAAAATAATAGTATTATTGCTATTATTATTGGTTTTGTTTTCTGCTAAGAGATGGTGCCTAATAGGCACTTGTCGAGCGTGTCCGTCATCTGCGATTTACATATGTATTGTTTGTCCTTGTTTTGTTTTGTTTTTATACCTCTTTGTAGTTTGGTTTAGCAGAGTGTGGCTGTGCTATACGGCCAGATGGGTGATCGTAAGCTTGAAGCTCAGAGGAATGTGAGCAATGCTGCAACGAAATATCCTGAATCAAGTGCACTAGAAAGAAATAATGTTAAAGCAAATCCCCTTTTCCCCCAAGTGCCACCGTCGACGTCACTGAAGGGCAACACTTCAATTGCGATGCCAAGTGGCGCACAAAACCTCCAAGAATGTGCTTTCTATGATGAGACAGTTAGTGTTTGCGGCTTTTCCGGTGAATGTGCAACCCAGTCATTGACAAATGACGAAGATCGTTCAGACAACAGGATACCCGCAATTGAGAGCCGAGTAACAAAGGCTGTTGAGCCACCAGAGTACTCAAAGCCTCCGCAGAAGCAAGGAGACAGCTTGAAAACGCTTAAGCGGCGTAACTGTGCGATTTGTGTCGGTGTGCTGGTCTTCTCCGTGCTATTAGGCGTTGTTAGTGGCCTTGTTATCGGCTTGGTTGGCTACCGCTACAACATGTTAAACCAGCGGATCGCATTGGCAGCCAAAAACCGCATGGTTCTGAACAGTTCTGTCAACATTCTTCGTGATGCCCATTCAATGCTGGCGGTCGACTCTCTGAATCTCCTGCACTATGTACAAGCCATGGGAACTAACTACACGAGTGCAGAGGAGATGCGTGACGCGTATAATAGGTCATTTTTCCTATTTTCGGCACTTGGCATGGCGAGTTCACCAGAAGTGGACGAATTCCTTATTTTTGTTCCTTTTTGTGATGAGGTAGAAATGCAAGAAAACAGATGTCATGATGCTCTGTTTCTAGCGTATACGTGTGAGCCTCTCCGGAACCGTTCTGAAAAATGTTTTTATTCCTTCAACAATGACAGTGGTGTAGATACGTTTGAAGTTTTAAAAGACGGTCACGGGGCCCCCTTCGGTTTGAAGTGGTTAAGAACTGAATCACTCTCGAACTATATGGTGAACTCTAGTCAGACACCTCCTACTAACTCCAGCGGCCGTTACATTGGCTTTGTCACCTCCGATCCTGCCAATGAGGTCGTAAATACAGGCGTAGCACATCGTCGACAATTTAAGAAGGACGGTCGCACTGTTGTTTGTGAGGCAAGTGGCTACACTATTAATTGGTTTCGGGCATTTGATCAGACTCTTCAGAAGGCAAATGAAAGTTACTCTCTGATATTCAACGCGAGCGGCTCCATACTAGCATATTCCTATATGTCTCAAAATCAACAGGGCGGGGTACCTTGCCATGGTATCACCCTGGATGAGATGAGAAGGGCAAAGAATGACAACAGCGCGCAGAATGTAGAATGCGGCACGAATGGCGCTGGTGTCCTTGATAGCATTGTAGAGCTATTGTTGGACTTCTTTAAGAATGAGAAAACAGAACCAGATGCGCCGATGATAGGCCGCTCCGAAATTGTGGAGAGTAATGGTTTGGTGACAGCAGTACAAGAGTTTTTTTTTGTCGAGGCAGACCCTCAAGAACACAAACAACTCTATGCTGCGTATGCTACGCCGATGCTGACTGGGCTTGACCGACAGAGTGTACTCCAAGTCATTATATGTGTGGTTGTAGTGGTCGTTTCCATTTGCGTTCTTGGAGGGGTTAGTTTGTTCTCTATCAATCAGCTTCAGAGGACCGTTGAACTGGTATCTGTACTAGCTGTTCACGTCGCGACGTACGACTTGGAGAAGATGCAGATGGTTCTGGATCGTAAGCATCAGGGCTTCAGTGTTCCATTCGGTTTTTTGGGGATCGATATGTTGTCGGATGAGTTTAACAAAATTCTCATGAATCTAAAGGCCTACCGGCCTTACTTGCCACAGGCGCTTTTGACGAACATTGCCTGCCCTGAGTGGGGCAAAGGGAGGATTTCTGACAACGGCTCCTCACCTTCGAATGGAGATGATAAAATGGAGGGGGCATACCCTCCTGCGCCTGATGTTCAAGAAACTTGTATTGTGGACGGATCGGATGTAAACGCTGTTGTGCTAAATGCCTCCGAAGAAGGGTGGCAAGCTCCTAAGCTGAAGCGTGTAAAAGGTACTGTTATTGTGGCACAGCTTCAGGGATGCGTTCTCGGTGAACCTGACTCTTTAACAGTGATTGATCAGTTTCTAGCCTTTGTCTTGAAAAATGTACGGGCCAGCGGCGGTGTTGCTGATCAAATTGAAACTGATCACGTCATCGTCACATTCAACTTTCACCTCCCGGTAATACGCCACCAGCAGAAGGCTTGCCATTGCGCCATTGCGATCCAGGAAGACTGTCGGAAAGCGGACATGAAGGTAGCTATTGCCATCACATCGGGAGTGAATTATGTTGGTACCGTTGGTACAGATGAGCAGAAGGCGCGTGTTGTTGCGGGTGACGGTGTCCAATTGGCGAAGCGCCTCGTCACGCTGCATCGTTACCTCGGCTCGACGATCCTTGTCACGCAGCAGGTAGCCCATGAATCGAACATCGCCGCCGTCCCTGTAGACAATGTCGAGGTTTACTCACCCTACTACAAGGTCACACTCCAATACGTGATCCTTGAAGTGTCTGGGTCGGCTCACGGTGAACTCTCATGTGAAGAGGCATTTTCCAAACAAATCTTTAGTCTTATTCTTCGGCGCCAGGGACGTGAAGCACGAGCTTCAGTGAATCAGCTTATGCGGAAATTTGCATCTATTGACGAGGCGCCGTGGTATGCACGTCGCCTTTATGAGCTTTGCAAACATAACCAAAGTCTTATTGAAAGTGGATACCGGCGAAAAGAGCTGCTGTGGGCCCCGTTGGAGGGAGAAGAACTATTGGAACGCCACATGACGGACGAAGCTGCGCGACAGACGAAGGGTTTCCACTCATTTGATACGGTTTTTACTGAGATGAGAGACGGATCCGGCAACGTTGCCGATTCGGGCTGCGGCTGTGGTAGCATGGGGAGCCAATACACCGATGATGTGAAGCGAGCAAAGGTGCAGATCGATGCCCAGTCCTCCAGTAGTCGCCGTGCAATGTTAGTGAAACCTGATAAGCAGGGTGAGGACGCTCTTATCTCCCTTTTTGTCCAAGATGAGGAAACACCATTTGAGAGTGAAAACGTGCTCGATCAGGATGAGGAAATACTCCACAACGGTTTCCCTAATAAGGGTTTACCACAGGTAATTGAAGATATCAACCATCAGATTTTCTATCGTACTGACGAGCTACTGGGGAGGGGACAGTTTGGCGAAGTGTATCTCACCATATCGGCAAGCGGGACATTTGTCGCCACGAAGGTATTTCCCCTCGAAGAGAATGGTGCTGCGTTGGTTCAGGAGGTTGAGGCTTTGATTCAACTGCGCCACGATAATATAGTGGCCTATGATACCTGTGCCATTCAGGACGGCTACTTTTTCATATTTACGGAATACATGGCTGCGGGGAATATGCGCCAGTTGATCTCACGTCTCGGTCGGATTCCTGAGAAGACGGTCCGCAAATACGGTCGTGATATTCTCTTTGGATTGAAGTTTCTCCACACCATGAAGTACGTTCACTGTGATCTTAAGCCGGACAACGTGCTTCTCTCGTCGGAGGGCACATGCAAACTTGGAGACTTCGGTACTGTGCATCTTGCACGAAGCGTTCCTGACAGAGGTGCAACACTTCGAGGTACACCGCGCTACATGGCCCCAGAGGCCGTGATGGGAAACTCGACAGACAAGTCGGATATTTATGGTTTTGGGCTGACGATGGCACATATGTTGCTCGGATTCAACCCCTGGCAAAAATACGAGGAGTCGGATGAACACTTTCTCTTGCGACTTGCGAGGGACGATGAGGATATGAGACCAGCATTACCTACAGACTTGGAGGACAAGGAACTGGAGCGCGCCGTCCGAAGCTGCTGTGAGCATGACCCCGCGTTGCGCCCCACAGTCGATGAGCTGCTCTCTATGCTTTCATAAGGCTCGCGTGCATCCTGTGTCTCTCTCTCTACGGTGTCCTTGGATGACGTCGTTCTCGCACGGCGGAGGAGTGAAGCTTTGGAGAAGTGTGGACTGTGATCCTAAATGTAGATCACCGCAGAAGAGTTCTTGCGCAACAGAGGATGCTCAGCTGTTCCCAATCCAAAAAAAAAAATCATCTGTATATCAACCCTTAGTTATAGTATGCCAGTGTATTCCGACAAAAAAGAATGTAGAGGGATTAGGTTTTTTTTTTTTTAAGGAAAAGTAATAA